TGGCTTTGAGCTCCCAAAGGGCAGGGCTGGTGCCTCACTTCTCTCAGGGCCTGGCCCAGGGTGAGTACCAGGAAATGTCTGAAAAATGAATGAGGTTGGAATTGAGCTGAGCCTTAGATAAATGAAGGACAAAGGAAGAAAGGATTTCAGAGACGGTGGCAGGAACAACATGGCCAGAGAAGCATGGCGCAAGTGACAGACTGTCTCGAGAGAGGGAAACATCTGTTGTGGAAGAGAAACGGACGTTTGTAGCAGTGCTTTCTCAGATGTTTTGTCTGACTCTCGCATCAGCCCTGAGAGAGAGGTGCGATTATTCCCATTTTACAGATGAGGCCACTGAGACTCAGAGTAGGGAAGTGATTTCCCTAGAAAATGGCTGAAAACAGGATATAAATAAGCCTGTCTGATTCCTGAGCCTAGAGAAATGTGGGTAGAATTTGTAGCTCTAAAAGTGGACATAGTTTGGGAGCCTTGGCCAAGCACCTAGTGCCTGTGTCATCGACCTTAGCCCCAAACAGAAGGTGACAGTACATGACCGGGTCCTGATCCCACAGTGGGACCCCTGTACTGGCTCAGGTGGGGGTGAAGGCAGCAAATGGCAGGTGGTTATATAACCCCAGCCTTTTGTACACACAGCTGCTCCAAGCTGTAGTCACGCCCTCCCTTCCTCCACCTCCTACTCCCCTCAGCCTCTTCTTTCAAGTTTGAATCAAGCCTCTCCTCCCCCTCAAACCCTCATGTTGCCGGCTGGAGCGACACTTCTGGGCACTGAGTTTACTCTGTCCCCGGAGGTGCCCTTGACTGTTTACAGAGTGAATGAATGTGCACACATGCCCAAGAATCCCCCTTCTCCAGGGCTTCCAGGGGAAGGCAAAGCCTCCCAAGCCCCCGCCCCCTTCTATCTTTTCTCCCCACCTTCCCTGTCCCATCCCTGAGGTGGGTCCAGGCCATGCTGCATCCAACAGGGCTAGAGGTTGAAGCAGCTGCCTCTGGCTGAAGCAGCAGACCTCCTGAGGGAGGAAGCAGGAAGAGCTGCCAGGTTCACTCCTCACCCTGACCCTGAGTGGCTGGGTGTGGGAGAGCAGAGGGCACAGAGCAGGGTGGGCAGGGCTGGGCAGGGTGAGAAGCCAGGCTACCAGGCCACCTTTGGGATGGGGAGGCGGCCTGCCTGCCTTCCCCCAGAGGGGTGAGCCAGCCAGGGAGGAACCACCTGCACCCTCCCCAGGCCTGCCCTGATAGACTAAGAAAAAAGTCAGCACTGGACCCATTGTCAAGAAGCCTGCCTTCCAGACTGTTTGATACTTGCCAAGAATCTACCCTGGGTCTTGCTGGGGGTGGATGGGATGCAAAAATGGGTGAGACCCATTTCCTCCTCTAGAGAAGGTCACACCAGACATTTATGGAAGAACGAGCATAGCTAATACTCACCGCTGAGCACTTCATTATGTGCCAGACACTGATCGAAGTCCTTCACATATAACCCAAACTAGCTGAATATTCACAACAACCTATTGACACAAGCAGCATCTTTACTCTGGCCCCGTCTTCTTGTCAACAGGTTGTTAGCTCTGTAAACTGGCCAGGTGCCAAAGTATGCTTAAGGATATAACCACCTTCATTGGATTTCACTGTCTGCCCCAGTTACATCTTTCCCGGTGGGCTCGTTGTTTCATCCTATGGAAACTGCAAGCTCCTGTGACTCACCTATTTCAGTCTCTTAAAATGTCTTGTGCAAAGCAGGTGCTCAAGTGTGTTTGCAGTTTGGCACATTGATGGAGGATGCCTTCATTTCCCCAGGTCACTGTGACATGAACAAAGTGGTTCTCAATCTGTACCTGGAATCACCTGGAGAATTTTAACCACTGCTGGTACCTGGGCCCCTGTTCCCGAGGTTCTGATGTAATTGGTGTGGGGTGCAGTCTTGAGCCTGGGGCTTTTTAAACACTCCCAGGACAATTCTAAAGGGCAGTCAGTAACTCCTGTGTTAACACTTTTAGAATACTTGAAAGTTTCACTTGAGGGCAGGCAGTGGGGTGGGAGGAGCAGAAAGAGCTTGGGCTTTGGAGATGGGCAGACAAGATTCAAATTACAGCTCAGCCATTTATTTACAGGTTGGGTGAACTTGGGCAAATCAACTTCCCGAAACCCCAGTTACCTCATTCATATAAGTGGATAGTAACATTCATCTTTAAGTAAAGCCCCTGGCACGGGATGGCATATGCTAGAAGAAATGTAATACATGGCAACTATTAAAACTATACATTTCTCCATCCAACATGTGATTACTTGGGGGGCAATAGAAAACAGGACATTTATGGTTCCTTAAACTGTGGCATTTACATTCTAGTAATTCAACTTAATAAGCTGTATTAGTTTGGAACATCAGACAATGTCTAGGTACAAAGATGAACAAGATTTTGTTCTTGCCCTTGAGGAATAGCGAATTGGCCACTAATCATAACTAATGTGGAGGAAGGGGAATGCCAATTGGGTACAAAGAGTGGTAGGCTTCAGGGGAAAAGCCATCTACAGAGCAGATCAGAGAAGTTTCCATGAAAGATAGGATACCTGAGAAGGCTGTTGAAGGATGGATAAGATTTTGCAGGATGGGATGAGGAGGGTGGTGGCAGAATAGCTTAAACAAAGGTTTGGAGGCAGATACAGCCAATAATCCAACCTGGCACAAGGGCTAGATGTGCATGCACAAGAGGGCAGAAGATGTGTGCGCATGGTGGGGAAGTGCAGGCGGGAGACTTAACTGCCGGGGTGAGGCATTTGAACTCCGTTTGGTCAGGTGAGGGACCCACACAGGAACTGGAACGTGTTGCCTAATTCTTAGTTCTTAATACCTGGAGCTTCTCCTGGCTTCCTTCTGGAATGCACGTCCTTGTTGCCACCACCCTGGGGGCTCCCCTTCTCTGCCCACTGCTACCTCGGTCCCGTGTTCAGTGCTCAGGGTCCTGCTGCTGCTCTGGTGAGGGTCTGATAAACTCCTTTGCCCTTAAGCATAAAATGCATTTCCAGATAGTTGGTACCTCTCCAGGCAATTGCATTTGGCAGGTTCAGTAGAAAGAGCACCAAACCGAGGATCTTGAGGAGGTCTGGTTCTAGTCCTAGCTCTGCCTCTCACCAGCTGTATGACCTTGGGCAAGTTGCTTCTCTTCTCTGAGCCTCAGTTTCCACATTTGAAAAATGACCAGGCTGGATGGGATGATTGACAATGGCCCTTCCAGTTGCAGTGTTACTTGACTAATTTGCCAACTATCAAATCCAAAAATGTCTGTTTTGCCTCATGCAAGGGGATGCTGTTGCTGCAAATTCGGCATTAGGCATGAGGCTCAGAGGGGAATGGATGGAGAGGCTACACATAGGCGCTACAGCAGTGTCAGCTGACCAGCCTTGCATTCCCCATGGCTCAAGCCCTAGCTGTGTGCATGAAGGAGCTTCCAGAATATGCCATCCTCCAACCATTCAAGTCTCTTCAGTTGAAACCCCAGATGCTGTGGCGCAGGGTGCTGTACACTGTCTGAAGTCCTGACCCTCAGAATTTGTGAGCCTAGCAAGATTGTTGTTTCAGCCACTAAGGCTGGGATGGTTTGTTACGCATTAATAGATAACTGGAAATGAGCAGGGTGTTTTGAGGGTGATTGGAGGATGAAGGGTCTCCCCGTGCTGGTGAAGCCTCATGGTTGTCCTCCTCTCCCCACTGACTTTGAAAGCAGCCACCTCTGGTCCCGGATTATTACTCCAGGTAGCATGGCTCTCGGGAGAGGAAGCTCAGAGCCTGCACTGCCTTGGGACGTTGTAAAGTTTATAAGCAAGGAAGCTCTGGGATCTTTCTCGGGGCTGTCTCAGACTCTGGGGTGTTGGTCAGCCGGGAGGTGGGGCTCGTCTGTACTCGCCGGTACCCAGTGTGGGAAAGGCTAGAGGGCGGGGCGGGAGGGGGGAGGCTGCCCACCCTAGTAGGGGTCCTCCAGCGCATCTATCTCATTTCAGCCCCTCAATGACTCCATTAGGCGCTGTTAGAAGGGGTGTTTCCCCTGCTTTATTGATGAAGGAAAAACTTATGTGCCACGCTCACGACTATAGAGGGCGAATGGCAGAGCAGGGATTTGAGCCCAGTCGCAGGACTCTACAACTGTCCTGAGAAGCCCCGTGAGTGGCTTAGGGTTGGGAGCTCTGAGGAGGGACCTCCGTTTCCTTTAGCTAAACAGCCTCTTGGCTTGAAGTAAGACCACTGAACTTGGCTGATGTTCTGTTTCTCCTTCCTTCCCCACCCTCCTCATTCCTTTTTTCCTCCGGGGATTTTGAGGTAAGGAAGAGAGGAGGAATCCACTCCCAACCCAAGTCCTTTGTTAGGGAGGCTTGATGGCGATGCGGGCTTCACTCACTAACCTTTCCAGGGCTGGGGGGTGGGGGGGGGCACAGATGGCGAGGCAGGCCAGGCCGCTCCCAAGCTGGGGAGTGGCGGAGAGGAGGGGAGTGTCCCTCCCTATCACAGCCCCCGCCCCTCTGTGAAACGTGGGTGATGAGGTTCCCACAATATGTGCAGTGTCAGGAAACATGTTGGGTGGCAGGGAGGAAGCAGCCTATTCCCTAGCGGGACTTCCTCCCTGACGGTGTGTGTGTGTGTGCGCTGGGGGGGAGTGGGAAGGTGAGGTGGACAAAGAAATACCATTTTCCAAGCTATTGTACCAGGCTATGTCACACCTATCAGCTCATTTAAATAAATTTCCAGACAAGGCTTGGAGAGGTTAAGTGACTTGCCCAAGGCCGCACAGCACGTGAGCAGCAGAGCGGGTAAGGGGGCCTGGAGGGTCTGCCAGAGCTCTGGAAGTCACCGGCGGGACCTGGCAGGGAGACTCTGGGCCTTACCCCAGGGCTGTCCCGAGGGGATCCCAGCAGGGGGCGCCCTGAGCCCCTTCCCGGGCCGCCGGGCGCGCCTCCAACCGGCGCCTGGGACGGGGCTGGGCGCTCCGCCCCCGGGCTCCAGCAAGGCTCGGCGGGCGGGCCGGAGGGCGCCGGTAGCGCAGGGAGAGAGCGGAGCCGACCGCGGAGCGCCACGCTTCCCGCCGCGCCCGCGTGCCCACCGCGCCCGCCGCAGCGCAGCCTTCCGCCGTGAGTAGCGCCCGTGTGCGGGCTCGACTGGCGAGACGGGGCGCACGGTCCGACCGCAGTGGTGCCCCGGGACAGGGGCTGGCGGGGGCAAGCTTCTCCGGGGCGCACTCTCGTGTTCTCCAAGCCCGCCGCCTGGGTCCCTGACGCTGCCCACGGGTATGGCCGGCCTTGGCCTTGGGCGCTGTGGCCTCATTGGAACGCCGGGACCTGCCCTCTGCACCCCCAGGACGCCCTCTGAAGCCTGGCAGTTTGACCCGAGGGACAGGGGCGGCGGGCAGAGGCGTGACACCCAGGGAGGCGATACGAGACAGGCTTTCTTCCAACAAGTTAGGGCCCCTTGAGGGGATAGAGCACCCCAGATTTCTGGGAGAAGAGGAGCTAGGTCGTCTCAGCATCCACCTCCTTGCACGACTCCTGCCTCCTTGCTACGGGAGGAGGTCAAGGGAGGAGGCCGCTCTGTATGCAGCTTCCTATGTGGCAGAATGAAGCTGTGAGCCCTGTCGTCAGGATCCCGGCCTAGGGCAGAGCTAGGGTGGGGATGGGGGCAGCCAGTAGCTCTGTGCAGGCTGGGGTAGAAAGGCATAGAAGGGTGTTCTCAACAGTTGACCCTGACTCTGGACGAGGGAGGCATTGTGCATGTCTCATGGCCTGTGTGGCTCTGGCCATTGCCCCTGTAACTCTGCCAGGCTGAAGTGAGTATTCTGTTTAGGAAGGCCCAGAGGTGAGCGTGCGGGCCACACAGGTAGTGGTAGATTAGGTAGCGGGCCACACTGGAAGAGAGGATGCCAGAGCTGGCTGCCTAAGGGGCAGCTGGGAAGGTCCCTGTGAGCAGGTGGAGTGAGCACAGTCTCTGATACCCTGTACCCTACAATCCAGTGGAGGGCATCTGGGCCTGGCACTCATTTCCCATGTGCCTGGGTGTAAGGTATTCCTGGGGGAATCCTGGTGATTGAGGGGTGCTCTTGCCTTGGCCCCTTCAAAGATACTTTCAGAGTCCTGTTCTTCCCAAACCACCCTTCTCTCAGGAAGTGTTTTTAGCATCTAAGGCGACCCCAGTGATAATTCAACAGCTCCGGGAGAGGCTTGGGCAGGGGGCACAAGGCCGGGTGTATGTGGGGGTGCTGCTCTGGGGCAAGTTCCAGTTGGCGGAAATGAGACCTGAACTGACCCTGACCCTCCCTAGGGCCTACCTAGTTGTTAGATGTGGAGGTGAACAAAGAGGGCTGCCCAGTGGAGCTGGACCTTCACCAGAAATATGGTGTTTTCTCATGTCAGCTTGGCAAGTGGCTCATCTTCTCGGGACCCAGCTTCCTCTTCAGGGACTGGGGTGGGTCAAAGCCTGGAAGGGCACTGTCCCCTTCCTGGAATGCCAAAGTCCCCGCCTGTCTGTTGCCAGCCTCCTCAGCGCCTGAGTGTGATGAGCCCTGATGGCGGGAGTAGGATGGGAGGTGTAAGGGGGTAATCACGCCTGCCCCCTTGCAATGCCCCATTTCACCGACTGGCACTGGGGAAGTGGGGAGAGGATCTCCGAGAGTTCAGCAGGTGAGCGGGGAAGGGGGCTTGGTAAGGTTGAGAGGGTCTCCTGTGGGGTGTTCCTCCAGCCCCAGGGGCCTCCTCCTGGGCTGTCCCTCAGAGGCCACTTACTCCTCCAACCCCAGTGCCACCATCATAGGTGCTGTCCACAGAGGCCCAGGAAGAGCAGCTGTGTGACTTTTAGCATGTCCCTTCCCCTGTGGGGACTTCAGTTTCCTCCTTTTGTAGAACGAGTGGTTTAGACTAGACAGCAGTGGTTTTCAGACACCCCCTCCACCCCCGTGAATTCTTACGCAGAAACCCAACATATAATATGGCTAAAATGGAACTGCTCTGGCTCCCCTTCCTCACACTGGTGGCTCCTGAAGCAGAGTCTGAAAATCCCCAGATGATCTTTGAGGCCCTTTTCTGTGAGGTTCTAGGAAATCCCTATTAGCCCTCAGAATTGTTGCCTTGTGTGAGGGGTGGGGGCAGGAATATGAATTGTAGAGACTGCATTAAGAGAAACGTGGGCATGAAGAAGGGCCTCATCCTTGGAATGTCTGGAGCTGATGGCCTGTGCCTCTGGCCAAAAGCTGCAGCTGTGTCCGTCCCCTCTGCCATGTGCTTTTCTCTTTTCAGGGCCAAAGAATGGCCTGTGCCTCTGGGTCCTAACTGGTGACTATAATTCCACCTCAGAGTTTCTTCCCTTTAGTTTCATGTATCCAAACTGGTAAAATGCAAAATCATCTTGGGGAGAGAGGTATGGGAAGAGTTTTAAGTTGTAATCAGTTGTTTTTACCTGACGAGGTATCATAATTTATGGAGCGCCTGCTGTATGCCAGCTACTACAAGGGGACAGAGGTGAGAATGTCCCAACCCCTGCCCTCATGGGTCTCCAAGACAAAAGGCAGGAGCAAGGAACTCACATTTTTGGGACCATCCAAGCAATATTTAAAACATTTTACATATGTTATCTTATTTGTCCTGTAAGGTAGATATTAGACTCATGTTTTTACTAGGTAAAACTGCATACAAAATAAGTATATACCCCATTTGTCCGTGTTACCACCACCCAGATCAAGAAACAGCATTGCCAGCACCCAGAAACCCCCTTGTGTTTCCTTCTGGGCAAATCCCTCACCCAGGGGTAACCACTGACTTCTAGCACCGTAGAGTCGTTCTACCTACGTGAAGTCTTTTGTGTCTGGCTTCTTCCATTCAACATTATGTTTGTAGTTACACCCATGTAGTTGAAGATAGTAGTAGTTTATTCTCATTGTTGTATAATAATTCCATGGTATGGGTATGCCTCTATCTATTCTTCTACTGATGACCAGTTGGTTGTTTCCAATTTTTAGTTATTATTAATGGTGCTGCTCTGAGCATTCCAACACGGATCATTTACAAAACATCTGCATGCATTCCTCTTTGGTATGTCCATAGAGATTGCCCAACAGTTTTTCAAAGCGTCCCAGTGTTTAAGAGTTCTAGTTGCTCTACATACTCGCCAACACTAGGCATTGTCTAGACTCATTCTCCACGTAAGTAATCTGAAGTTCAGCAAAGTTGTCCTGTGTTCAGTGTGTGCTAGTAAGTGGCAGTGCTGGGAGTTGAACCCAGGCCTGTGTGACTATGGAATCTGTGCTCCATTCCTCCACATTAGACATAGACATGGATTATGATGAGCCAGAAAATGATAAGCTCTCACCCTAAAAATGTATGAAGAGTTCTCTCTGGGAATTTACAAAGGAGGAGCATTTTCATCTGTTTTGTCGAGAAAAAAGGACATGGAGCCTCACATACTGGTGGCATTTGAGCCACTAGAAGGGCTCTCCAGATGGGCTTCCCCTGGAAAGGGCCCAGGCTGAACTGAGGCATGGCAGGGGCGCGAGTGTTGGGAGAATGGGAAGGTCTGCTTTGGCTGTAACATAGGATATGTGGGGCGAGGGGGCTAAGGTCAGGAAGGTGGGTTGGGGCCAAACTGGTAGGCCTGGTTTGTCCTTGGGGACTCCCCCGCTTGTCCTTCTACTGGGGAGCTGGGGCCGCTTCGAATCCAGCTCGGCTCCTGACAGCGAATGGCCCTGGCCTCCAGCCAACGGCAGGCCTCAGCTGTTGCTGGGACCACTCCCAGGGTATCTGCCGACAGAACTTCTTGGAGTTGTCTGCTTCCATCTAGCTGTGTGAAATTAGTAACCTTACTAATTTGTAACTCCCCACCCTCACCCCAAGGAGCTGACCCAAAGAGTTTATTTGGAAGGCTTTTTTTTCAGCACAGAGGAGATGGTGGGTAGCAGCCCTGCCGCCGTGTGAGCTCGTCCTGGGAGATTTGCCAGGATGGAGGTGGGCAGTGAGCATGGGTCGAGCTTCTGATTCTGATCAAACCAAATTTGCCAGGATGACCTCCAAACCTTTCCTCGGAAAGGAACGGAATTGGTTGTCTTAACGGCTGCGCGAAGTAGAAACACAGAGTAGCCTGGGATGAGTCAAACAATAACAATAGCAGTCATCCTTTTTTTCTGCCCAGCAGTTTATGCCCTTATCACAATGTGTGAAGTAGGTAATATCGATGTTATCACCCTGTTTACAGATGAGGAGGACGGAGACTCAGCGAGAGTGCCAACCTGCTGTGAGTCACACAGCTAATATACCACCAGCCTAGCCTAGAACGGGGGCTCCTGGAGCCTGCTCTTTTAAGTGTCCCATCTTCGCTGGGCCCTGACCCCATGGCGGAGCACAGGGTGAAGACCAAGCAGCAGGGAGGGTGTGTGATGGACAATGAGTGCTGACAGGCAGGGGGTTGGCAGATGATGCTGAGAGTAAGGCCTGGGTGCCAGGCCGGCTCGGTCTGGAGGTCTTCAGGGATGTGCGTGCCTTCGTGGAAGGGAGGGAAGCTGGTGGCGTCTTGGTAACAGAGCTCTAGTTTTCAGGGGACAGAAATGGAGGAAAGAGGGTGAAATGTACACATCGCCTGTGAGAACAGCTCCAGCCACTTGGCATGGATGAGACACGCCCTTATGTACTGGTGCCTCCACCCAGACTGATGAAAACAGTCTTTTGGGGTTCACAGGTCCTGGGCGTGGTTGGTATCTGATTGACAGGTGGAAGAAAAGCTGCCTGTGCTTAGCTGAAATGAGCTCTGAGAGGCCTGTGATAATGACTCTTGAAAGACACATCCACAGGCAGCTGGTTTTATCTTGGTGACTTGCAGACTGTGTCCTGGGCTCCACCCTTGGCGTGCTGTTGAGGGTGGCAGGTGACTGTCCCAGGAACAGGAGAGCTCCTTGGGGCAGGTGGATCCCAGGACAAGATGCAAACAGCCTCTTCCGGTGGAGGGGTGAGCACTCCTCATGGCCCAGGCTCGTCCTGTGTCTCTCAGTCAGGTGCCCTGGGCAGGCAGAATTAGCTCTGTTTTCCAGAGGAGGAAACTGAAGCTCCTCTGACGAGAGATGAGGTCACAGAGCCAGCTGGGGGCCGAGCTGGAACTAGAACCTCAGGCTCCCGCTTCCCGGTGCCTGTTGTCATTGGTCACACCACCCCTGCCCATCTTTCCCTTGGGACGATGAGTGAGAGAGTTTGCACATCAGTTCAGACTCACGTGCAGGTGGCGCAGCCTCTGAGGGAGCTGAGGTCATGAAAAGCCCTTACCTTTCGACTGCATTTTATAGTTAACAAAATGATTTTATGATTTACCTTTGGTTTTTACAGAATTAGCCCCTTGTACAGACTGAGAAGCTACGTCTTCCGCTGTTTAAATGGCTTACCCAAGTAAAACTGGGACTCGAACCCAATATTCTGACTCAAAAATTAGTGCTCTTTCTCCTGCCTCTTCCCTCGGTAGACCTGAATTGCCTGAGAACAAGTTGCTGAAGTCGGTTGACACGGCTGTTCCTCTGAACTTGATTAGAGCAGATCTGAATAAGCGAGGAGGGATCTTCTTCTGTCGCCTTACTCTAAATCAAATCACCCATACAGGGTGGGTCATGGGTGAGGAAAGGCTTGAGCATGGCAGTCCTTGAGGACCGAGGGCTGTGGCTTATTGTTAAATTATTAGTGCCCTTGCAGCTGATTACTTTTAGGCTCAGACTCTCAGGCTTTTGTCAATTTACACATCTCTCCTGATCTCAGTTTCAGGGCTGTACGTGCCAGACCTCAATGAGGAGTCCAAACATGGAGACCTTCAAGCAGCAGAAGGTGGAGGACTTCTATGACATCGGAGAGGAACTGGGGAGGTAAGGGGCTGAGAGAGGCGGAGGGGGAGCGAGCTGGAGCCAAGGATACACTTCTCTTGGTGCACGTGTCAGCTGATCATGTCACAGGATTTGTGGGAAGCTTTAAAAACAATCCTGGGGTTTATTTATTTAATTTTTATTGAATGTACTGGGGTGACATTGGTTAGCAAAATTATACAGGTTTTAAGTGTACAAGTCTATAATACGTCGTCCGTATATTGCATTGTGTGTTCACCACTCAAAGTCAAGTCTCCTTCCGTCACCATCTGTCCCCCATTTACCCTCTTCCATCTCCTGTCGCTCCCCTTTTCCCCTGGTAATTGCCATACTGTGGTCCGTGTCTAAGTTTTTTGTTTTTTGTCTTTGCTTAATCCCTTCGCCTTTGTCACTCAGCCCCCAGCCCCCGCCTTCTAACAGCTGTCAGTAATCCTGAGGTTTATTTATCTTTACGGGTGGCTCTGCACAGAGTCATCCTCTGAAAATAAAGACACCAGCAAGAAGGGGCTAAAATTGTAGAGTTCTTGTTTTCAGTATATTCGGGCAGAGATTTATGGTGAATCTAAATGATTCTTGGTTTATCTGTTATTGTCCTCCCAAAGCCCTCCCCAGGCATTGGACTGAGACCTGACCTGTTGATTTTCTTCTCCAAGTCCCACTTGGCATTCTCCACAGCTCCCAAGATTTTGTTTCATAAGCTCGGAGCCTGCATGGGAGGTGATGTAATCCTCCTGAAGGTGGATTTGCATTGAATAACGAGCCACACGAACATAGTCATAGGGTTCCTAGGATCTGAGTTATTGGGTGCATTTTCTGGTTTGCTAAACACAGAACGCAACCAGGGCTAACTTCCAAGATCTGAAAGTAGTTACTATTTAGAGAGAAATGAAGATTTTCCAAAGCTCTCTCCTTACCCTCCATTTCTAACCATTGCTAATATTTAGCTGGTGTTTTAGGGATTATAAAACACTAGTTCCGAAGTTTCATTCTCACAACAGTGCATGAAATGGGAATTATTTTTACTCTCATTTTTCACATGAGGAAACTGGTCCCAAGCATTTAAGCAAGTTGCCCAAAGTTGCTCAGCCAGCAAGCGCCGTAACTGAGGTCTAGCCAGTCCAATCTGTATCTGCACACCGGTCGTGCGCTCTCCTATGAACGCGGCACTTGCACACTCACACATGCTCACCAATATACCCAGCTTCAGCCCTTCACACACCCAGCAAAGTAAAAACCTGGCGCATCAGGGTCTCCACGATATCCAAGAAGCAAAACGGAAGGCCCTTCCTCTTTATAGAGCTCTAGGGTCAGAACTAATTCTTTGCTTTAATTTTAAAAGACAAAACAGAAAGAGCTTCCAAGCCACAGCCAGGCTCTGAGAAGAATGGGAGGTGCTGGTGCTTCAAGTTCAGGCGGTGCGCGTCCAGGGTGACTGGATGGCTGGGTGTGGGGAGGAGCAAGTGATGCAGAGGCCCGGCGGGGGGGGGGGGGGGGGGGGAGGAGGTTGGGGATGACTGTCCTGCCTCATTTCGGAGACTGCGCTGACCTAGGCAATCCAGGGCCCGGTGGAAGGGTGGGAGGAGGACGGGGGCCGGAAGCTGGGGGTGGTCAGGTTCTTTTTATCTCAGGTGCTTCTTCTGGCCTTGGTGACACCAGGGGAGAGTGGCACTCTCAGCAGCAGACGCTGCCAGGGGCATTTGCTTCGGTGGCCTCACCGTGGTCACGCCCTGTGTGTAGGGCTCAGTGCTAAGTGCTGTCGGTACAAAGATGAGGAGGACACAGACTGTCTCTGCCTTCCTGGAGCTCCAGCTGGTGGTGGGGGCAGCCACTCACACAACACGGGTGAGACAGGTGCCAGAACTGAGAACTGAGCAGTTGGGGTGGGAGTCTCCCAAGAAGGAAATACAAGCAGTTTCCTCGGGGAATTCATCTATTACTACTTCCTAGTCCTATCTTTCTCCCACACACTATATAGAGCTATGGGAACTGGAAGAGGTCTCACGTCTTCTGATCCTCCCCTGCAACGGGCCGTGAAGGCCCCATGTATCTCACAGCCTGGAAAGCCTTAAAGGACCCCGCCTACTTTTCTAAAGTGCTAATCAGGCAAGGAGTGAGTAAGAGAGAGTAGAGGCCTTTGGAACGGCTTGACGTGCTAGGATTTGTGGTCTAGAGGTCAGATGAGCTGGACGGCCATTAGAGGTCCTTTCTAACAGGCCCTTCCTCTGAGAGTTAAGGAAGCTGAAGCTCTGAAGAGGAAGGTCTTGGCTGGGACCATAAACAGGCTAGAGATAGAGCTGCCTCCAGGTGACGGCTCAGCTTCTGAGTGGACAGTCCTACCTTTTTCCCCTCCCCTTCTTTTCTTCACTTAACATTCTTTTGCATACCAGGCACTGCCCAAGGTAGCAGTAAGTGCACAGGGATATTCTTGTCTTCTTGCAGCTTATGCTCCCTTAGTGGAGAAAGGCGCTAAACAAGTGAACAAGGGAGCATGTGTTAAGGGCTATGAATGGAGAAAGCAAGGTGCTAAGAGAGTATAGGGGATGTAGGTTAGACTGGATGGTCAGGGCCCGTTCTGAGGAAGAGACTGTTCATCTGAGAACTGAGGGGTTAATATGCAGACAGAGACAACAGCATGGACACAGACCCAGAGATGGGGAAGGGCCCGGGGTCGGAGCTGCCGGCAGGAGGCCAGTGTGGCCTCAGAACGTGAGCTGTGGACAAGCCATGCGAGGTGAGGTTGGAGACATGGGTAGGGGCCAGATGCAGCTGGCAAGCTCCCTGTCAACGGGAATGGGACCCCACAGATTGAGATTGGAGTCCCCTTCCTGGCTGTGCAACAAGAGGACAACTTGCTCAACCTCTCTAGGCCTCAGGTTTTGTACCTGTATCATGGGAACAGTAACAGTGTGTACCTCACAGTTGTGGGGATTAAACAAGATGCCGAGTCCACGGTGCCCCTCACAGAGTCGGGCACAGGGTAAGTGTTCAGTGAACAAGGGCTGCTGGCCTCAGACGTCAACTTGGCGCATCAAGTCCTGCCTCCCACCAGTGGACCCTGGGAGAAGGGTGTGGGGTTCTGCAGGAAGAACAGCAGGGGAAGGAGGCTGTCATTCTTATTTCAGACGGAGCTGCGCTAGGTTCTTCCTCGGTCATCAGTGAGTGCCCCAGCCTCCACTCCAGGGAGGTCTTGTTGATTTTAGCTCCTCGCTAAATCCTTACCTTGTAAAAATGAAACATGAATGACAGTCATGTTTCATTTTTACCTGTACTGGTGGATGAAGCTCACAAACATGATGTTGGGTAAAGGAAGCCAGACTCCAAGAGTCCATACTCTATAATTTGCGTAAAGTTTGAAACAGACAAAATGAGTCCGATGTGCTAGAAGTCAGAATAGTGGTTATTGGGTGGACTGGAGACTGGAAAGGGGCACAGGGGGACTTCGGGGGCATAGGTGTTTTTCTATTTCTTGATCTGGTGTCTGTTTCACTGCTGTGTTCATTTCATGAAAATATATCAAGCTGTGCATGTACGTTTTCCTGTAAGTATGTTATATCTTAGCTAAAACCATGTATTAACAAGCAAAGAATCTTTAACTCCACTTCCTGCCCTGGCCTGGTCCCTGAAGCACATGTTTTTGATTCCTTTGGAGGCCTCCTCTGTCCTTGTCTTACAAGTAAGAACATCTGTGAGAAAAGCTACAAAATCTAGTTTTGGATGGGGACAGCGTGCCCTGGCTGGAGAGTCCTGAACTCGGCTGGAACTGCTCCTGGCCCTGTACCTCTCACCTGATTTCTGGCTCCCAGCGCTGAGTGCAGACACTTGGCTGTGCTTGCATTTTTGGCAGCAGCCTGCTTGGGATGCTGGCCTGCAGATTCTGGCCTCTCCCAGACTTGGTAGCCTCCCAAGGGCAGAGCAGGGGAATATTAGAGCAGGGCTCATAAGGAAAAACCCATTCAGCCCCTCGTTTTACAGACAAGGCTAAGACCAGAGAGAGGAAGTGGCTTGTCCAGGTCACGTGGTGAACCAGTAGTAGACCAGGGTGGGGACTGGAGGTCTGACACCTGTCTAGGGCTCTGGTCACTGGAGGACCCGCAGAGCACAAGCTCATTTTTTCCTTTAATTTGAATGCTGCTGGGAAGTGGGGGAGAATGTGTGGTGGGGTGGTCTTTTCTGTTTGACCTTGAAGTTAGAATAGCAGGGTCAGAGTCAGGGGGTGAACATTTGGGAAGGAATGATGTTTCCCAGAGGGAGGGCGCTGATAGTTGGGTCCAGTGATGAACACTGTAGGCCCAAGGATACAGGGTAACCTAGCGTACGCAGCATGTAACAATCAATGGTTTCTTCCTTCCTGTATTTTTATTACTTTCCTTTACTTAGAGTATCAGATTATTATATTAACACGAAATCGTTAAATGTTACCATTGAACTGGATCTCAACGAGAATTTTGTCCAAATCTCCATTTTACAGGCAAGGAAAGTGGGGTCCAGAGAGGGGAGGTGAGTGTTCAAAGTCAATATAGGAGGTGGAATTGAAGAAGCTTTGCAACTACCTCGTGCCCGTTTAAACAAACCGACGAAAAGCTATCTGTATGTACATTCAACTTTTATCCACAGCCCCCTCCTCTCTCAGGGAGCCTGCCTCCCCATTGCCCCACACATCCATCACCCATCCCCTCCTCCCTCCCTGAGGAAGACCGCAGCCTTAATTAAGCCCTGCTACCTGCGAGTATTTAACCTGCAAATCTCCTTTTGTAGGGGCTGCAGCTTGGGCCAGGGAGGGATCCACTGCTCTCAGGCCTCATCCTCCCTGGGAGCTGAGGAATTCCCTGGGACGGCCTTACGGACAGGGCCACCGGCCAGGCCCGAGGGTCCTGATGGGGTCTTCTGTCGTTAGGATCACTCACCATACACTCAGCTTAGCCTGGGCAACCTCCTTTGTGAGAGAAACAAAAACCTTCAGGACATGCGTAGAGCTCCGATTCACCCAGGCTGGGTGCTGTTGC